AATATCTCACCTTACTTCCAAAGTGCATTGCTTGCTATCTGACCGCTTACTATGTTGAAAAGAAGCCATTTTAGCGAGTTATCCATTTCTAGGTTTACTCATAAAAGAAGCACAAGGCTGCACACTCCATTACCGAATGCCCGATTCGAGAAGCGAAACTCCAACCTCAAGATTACTAGGCGGCCACAAGAGGTTTCCTTTCACTTTGAGATCTTTCATTATCTCCCCAGCTTCTTTTTGCTTCGGCCACTATTAATATTGGATGAGTTTGAGCACGAATTATCTAAACCGAAGCAGAAGGCTGTGGCAAATAACACAGACACGAGGTTTGATAATTCATAACAAAATGCGAGAACCGAATTCACTAATTGTTTTATTATAAACTTTTTAAACAATCTGAAAAAGAAGACACTTCTGTTTGAGTTCGCAAATATTCGGGAACTCGATCGAACATGATTAATGCAGTATGGGTTATCATGTTAACTTCACGCGCTATTGTAAATAGTTGAACGAATGCTCCCGACTAATCAATTTTTCATTATAAGTCTAAAGCATAATAATAGCTATTAAGAGCCTCATCTTAAGCCGAAAATGTTCTGTCAATTGGGAGCATAATTATGGTCGGTATCATTTACGTCTTCTAGAACTTTTATATCTCAGTGACGGAGGTCTTCAAATAACATATTTCTTCAGGAATTTCTAAATAAGACCGGTGACTTTCTCATCAAACAATTTCGCTTGAATCCTAAACTTTAATTTTCATCGTAGATTTAAACCCGTTTCCTCCATACAGGAACTTATTGTGAGACACCCGTTTTGCTCCAGATTATTAAAGCCATTAAAAACTTCAAATTCCGCTGAAAAGGTTATTTTTAACCCGGATTGATTGCTTCCAGAAATATTTACCCAAGCATCCGCAAATAAATCCAGCGACTTTTCCTTTGCAAGAGTTAGTTGACGCCCCCTACCCCTTTCGTGGTATACTGCTCTATACTGTCATTTATATCTGCGTAAATTATGGGAAAAAAAAAAACCAAAAAAAAAACACAATCTTGGGTAATTTGAAGGCGTTGATACAAAGGCCAAGGTCTGAGTGTTTCAAGATAATTTTCAACAAACAAAACAAATAAAATTTGAAACTGTCACCTTAAAGTTTAGATAATAGAAAAAGGTTTACTCAGCTGTTTGATAATTTTCTTCATTTTAACCTCAATATCAAAAATTTACTTTTCTCGGCCGTTGAGTTTGTTGAGATCCTTTCAGATCTTTCCATAAGTTAACGAAGTGTCATATTTAGAAGTTTTTTTGGGGGTCATTTCAAAAAAGGTCGAGCATTTGGAATCATTACTCCCAGATAATACATCAATTTTTACGCACGGTTGGGAGCTCTCTATGCAGTAAGAGAACAACTCTGGAAAAATCTAATTATTTTTTCCATTAAGAAGAGTGATCGAAAGTCTTGGCAAGTTAATTTAAACTGCAGAGCGAAGAGGCGCCCAACAGGCAACGGAGGTAAGAAAATCTAAAAGAACTCAATCGTTAAAGCTCTTGTACAAACTGAATATCATTCTTATTTAGTAACAAAGGAACAACTGTCAGTTTAGTGACAAATAAACTAAACGAAACAAATCACGGAAGATATAAAATTTTCCTTAAAGTTTTCAGAAGTGGAGGCGTGAAATAGATTTAGCTTTGTGCGCTCGTCGAAAGCATTCCTCCGGAATTTTTCTCTTTCTAATCGGATATGGATACTTCTCATAAGCTCCCTTTTTTTCGTTTCAGAAAATTTGGCCCAAACATATTTTTCCGGTTCCTATTTTCCAAACAGGTGGTTTGGGCGTAAAAGGACAGAGAGTAACAGTAAACTGGTACAAGACGTCATTCTATTGGTAAGAATATGTTTTCCTTGTATCCTTCCTGTCAGATAGATGTTTAACAACCAAAAAATGGCAGTTATAAAACTTTCTGTTCATAAAATAGTTCGAGACGAAGATTGGTTTCGTTGATCCAACGAAACAAATAATGATATAAGCGTAATCAAAATAGTGAAACCTGCGATTTCGCTTTCTTTAACACAGTCGGCCCAAACGGTAAAATGTAGTCGCATTGTAAAACTTGCTATAAAACACCTCGAGTTTCTCCATGCACCATGAATAATTGATCGAAAGTTGCTAGAAATACTCGACGAGAGGATTAGATGTTTTCGAAAGGGAATTATTTTTGAAGTGGAACATATCCTCAGATAGGTACGAATTCTTGGAGGAAGCAGCGTTTTCGACAGGAAGCTACCTTAGAGTGTACATTGTTTGCCATGTGGCGTCTGCGCTACGGCTTTATATGACATTACAATCATTCGTCAACTCAGACATTCGTAGGAGAGGCTTGGACGGTCCACAATTAAACCTGCTCTCGCAAAGGGTCACGTGTGCTTTGATAAAAGGAATTCCGCACCTGAGAAGTGATAACCATGTTGGCAAAAACGTAATACCAGTATTACAGCATGGTATAAGGGGAGAACAAGTGGGGCAGCCAGTTGTAATACTCACGGTCCTTGCCTGAACGTGCATCATGTGCTGAATTTGGAAGAATCGTCAGACACGCAAGCGGAAGACTTGTGACGAACAGAATCCTTTTCAACAGTGTGTGACGTATTTTGCCTTAAAATGCGGCGGAAAGGAACTCCGTCCAAATCGAGAACAAATAAAAAATTCAATTCAATACATTTTCACGATATTTCAGTGGTCACCTCTGCCTCACCCACTAAATGATCGCAAAATAAAACGTCGTGAAGTCGCAAATCAGATGCATTTATGAAATATGACTTTTTGATAAGACAGATGTAATACAGAGCAAAGAAAGAAATTACAAATGTAATTATATTTCTTATCTCTAAATTTTAGCTGCGCTGCGTTAGTGTGCAGCTCTATGGAAACACACCAGCTATGCTTGTAAACCGAGGAATGTTCGGACACCATAGTGGATGTAAAACTCTGGAGTCCCGTGCTTTTTTTTTCTTTCGCTAAGAAAAAAAAATGAATAATAAGGTAGCTAGGTAATAATTGGATGTAAATTATCATTTATGGTTGCTAAATTAAAACTGGCCTTCACGAATTATTAATTAGAGAGCAATATGACGCCCTTCTAAATAGCATTGGAGTGCTTCAGTCAACTTTTGAAACAATGGAAAGATCTTCACTATATTATGGTTTGAGAGCTGATACTCGTATTAGAAAAAAACATACAAACAAAAGAGGTAAAAAAATCGGCGCACGAATTAAAGATTAAAATTAATACAAATATTGATATTCTATACGATAGGTGATAAAATCAATTTATCATTAAATGAATTTCTCTTTTACTTTGTTTTATCCGTTCTTAGAAACTATGGTTGCGGCGGAACCTGCACTCCTCATGGCACTGTTTTTGGCAATTTATTTAAAAGAACTGAATGGAAATTCCGGTGCCTTAGCTACACAAGGTGGGAAATGACTTTGTTGTTGCTACTTTAACGAATGGTTTCTTTGGGCCAAATCAGTCGGGTTCATTACTTTAATGTGATCAGTCATTTCATTTGTGGGGAACGGAAAACTGACTTAAATTTTCCTTGATGTAACATGTTGCTTTGCAACTCGTAACATGCTGTAATAATGATTATAATATTAATGGCAACAATAATAAATAAAAATAATAACAATAATTATAGCGGAAAGAAAAATCTTTATTTCAAGGGCTAAAATCTATTTATAATGGAATCTATAATTCTATATTTTTATATATGTCGATAACAATAAAATTTTAATATATAAATACATTGCTAATATGTTTGCTAAGGAAAAATAACATAAGATTTGATAAAAACGCTGTTGAATTTGATTGAAATAAGTAAGATTTATCTAGGCTAAAATATATCAATAACAAATAAAAGGCAGACATTAAAAAATGTAAAATTGGCGATAAAAAGACCCAAGAGATGGCTCCTTCAATAACGTCAATACCAATGTGATTGTTCTTCGTGTCACGCTGAACTTTGATAATGTTCCTGGAGCCTCTTCAACAGACAAGAGCAGATCGCAAAAGCGCAAACGAAACTTGGACTCTTACCCAGGCGGTGGCTGTGGAATATTGCTTTTCTTTCTTTGAGGCAATGCGCTCTGCCAATCAACAATGAAACATAAGGCATTATTTCCACACCCCACCCGTTGTCGTAAAAACCAGTGGGGTTAATGTTCCCCGTTCCACATCAAGCACTCTTCTAAAACACTGGCGCTTTTTCTCGTTCTCATGTATCCGATAGACCAGTTGGGTTTCCATGTTCCGGTACGAGTCGGCACTAGCTAGGGTGACAAACCCTCACATCAAATAATAATAGCAATTATAATACTACTACTAATAATAGTAGTATTATTAAAATTTTTACATTTCTCAATATCAGTCTTTAATTCTTTATTTCTATATTTTAACCTAGATAAATCTTACCTTTTTCAATCAAAGTCCTCAGACTTTTAAATATATTTAACGTTTTTTTTTTCGTAAGCAAACATATTAGTAACGTATTTATATTTAAAATTTTATTGTTATCGACACATGTAAAAAATATAGAATTATAGATTCCATTGTAAACAGATTTTAGCACTTGAAATAAAAATATTTCTTTGCATTATTAAAAAAAAAAAATAGACAATGATAATGATGTATTGATAGCGGAGCTCGCAGAGCGTAGCCCCATAATTATACAAAATAGTAGTAACCCATCAAACCGAAAAAATTTGGATGTACGACCGCACGACCGTTTAAGGTGCTACTTTTAACATGTGTGGTCAACTGTACCGCGGGAACACCAACGCCACAGCTTTGTTCAGTAGTCCAGTGGTCAGTGCACTGGTCAGGGTACTAGTTCTAGCCGGGGCAAGGCGTTGTACCCTTGAGACGTGCGGGAAATAAAATGCGAGCTCCGCTTTTAGGCTTGGCTTAATCTATATATTACTATTATTTCTTCAGAATGTGGCGTTTTGGTAAACAGCAGATTGAAAAGTCCGGGATATCCATTTAACTATCCAGCAAATATGGATTGTGAATACTCTGTTCCTATTCCACCCGGAGGGCCGATGAGAATACACTTCGTTGACTTTGATGTGGAGTATCACTCATCATGCAGGCAAGATAGTCCTCTCTGCCACGAGTTCAACATTTTTCATCGTAGGCAGCCGGTCCAAGAGTTCTCTGTCTGCTATTATGTTTTGCATGCTAGTCTTACAAAATGAGCTTCATAAAAAATTCAAACAAAGGCAGATGATGTAGCTGAAGCAAACTTTACAGCACTCGTCCAAAAAAATACAAGGAAAACTTCCTTCAAACCTTCGTATCATTAGACAAGAAAATCGTCCGTAGTCTCTGTTACTTTTCTCTAGATTAGAAACAAGAAGCTTCATCCTCAGCTGTGCCGCGTGGTTTCAAATTAGCTTAAGTACTTTTAACGTCGTTTCAGCTATCAGTTGATCTTTAAAATTGCACTTTTATTCTTTCAGTCTATCTTTGTTGAAGATTAATTATAGTCGAGTTAACTCAATCAAGATACTGTCTTTCTGTGAATAAAATCTTCGATTAATATTTTCTTCATTGTAGCTATGACTTTGTGAAGATTGCTAATGATCAGAACTATACCTTTGGTAAATACTGTGGTCGGAGGACTGGAGAGTTGCAGTTTATGGAAACTTCGCCAATATAACATTCCATTCAGACCCCTATGTCGAAAAAAGAGGATTCTTCTTCCACTTCAAAACGGTTTCCCCTGGTTTGTATAGTTATTAGGATGGAAATATCTCAAAATGTTTAATGAAGTGGTGTCAGTGTGATGTTATCTAAAAAGAGAGAAACAAAATAACTATGTAACTGACATGGAGTTTTTGTCAGTGGCATTAATGAACCTCTCACGGATGATGGCAACTGTATCCTATGGGTATTCACATGATTTCGAGAGCAATTTAGAAAAAAATCAGCATGAGTAAGTTTTTTAAAAGCTAACAAAATTGCATAAGCCCTTCGGGAGAGTTCAATTCGTGGTCTATGAAAACGTTACGAGTGCTGATTTATCCCAATTTGCACGAGATAAAATCGTGTGATTACTTGTTAATAATAATAATATATGCAAAAAGTTGACGCAGTTTTCATTGGTGCGTCCATTTACCTTTGTGCTGTTTCCAGTGTCGTGGGGGTCCTTCCGCAAGAGTCAGCTTCAAGCTTTTAAACTTTCTGTCAGGAATAACTGAGTATTTGCGATCTTTCTCAGTTAGAATTCGCCTTAAAAGAAGGCTATCACTCTCGTAATTTTATCCCTCTGGCTTTCGTACTAACTTTAGTGTAAACCCCGATATAACTTTGTTCAGGGCCTCCAGTTCTCATCTTTTAAAGATTTTTGGCTTTTATGGGAGCCGAAGACTTACCGACATTTAACCAGTTGTTTGCACTTTGCTGGAAGTTTTCGATTTTAATCAAGACGTCAGATATTGAGAAATGTAAAAATTGGCGATAAAAAGAGCTAAGAGATGGCTCCTTCAATAACGTCAATACCAAAGTGATTGTTCTTCGTGTCACGCTGAACTTTGATGTTCCTGGAGCCTCTTCAACAGACAAGAGCAGATCGCAAAAGCGTAAAAGAAACTTGAGCTCTTATCCAGGAGATGGCTGTGGAATATTGCTCTTCTTTCTTCGAGGCAATGAGCTCTACCAATCTACAATGAAACCTAAGGCATTATTTCCCCACCCCACCCGTTGTCGTAAAAACCAGTGGGATGAATGTTCCCCGTTCCACATCATGTATTCTTCTAGAATACTGGCGCTTTTTCTCGTTCTCATGTATCCGATAGACCAACTGGGGTTCATGTTCCGGTACCAGTCGGTATTAGGGTGACAAACCTTCACATCAAATAATAATAACAATTAAAATACTATTTCTAATAATAGTAGTAGTTTTATTACAATTTTTACATTTCTAAATATTAGCCTTTAATTCTTTATTGTTATATTTAAGCCTAGATAAATCTTACCTTTTTCAGTCAAAGTCCTCAGACTTTTAAATATATTTAATTTTTTTTTTTTTCCTAAGCAAACATATTAGTAACGTATTTATATTTAAAATTTTATTGTTATCGACACATGTAAAAAATAAAGAATTATAAATTCCATTGTAAATAGATTTTAGCACTTGAAAAAAAAAATATTTCTTTGCATTATTTAAAAAAAAAAAAAACATAGAAAATCATAATGATAGCGAAGCTCGCAGAGCGTAGTCCCATAATTATACAAAATAGTAGTAACCCATCAAACCGAAAAAATTTGGATGTACGACCGCACGACCGTACAAGGTGCTACTTTTAACATGCATGGTCAACTGTACCGCGGGCACGCCAACGCCACGGCTTTGTTCAGTAGTCCAGTGGTCAGTGCACTGGGCTCCGAGTCGGACGACCCGGGTTCTAGTTCTGGCCGGGGCAAGGCGTTGTGCCCTTAAGACGTGCGGGAAAAAAAATGCGAGCTCCACTTTTAGGCTTGGCTTAATCTATATATTACTATTATTTCTTCAGAATGTGGCGTTTTGGTAAACAGCACATTGAAAAGTCCGGGATATCCAGTTGGCTATCCAGCAAATATGGATTGTGGATACTCTGTTCCTATTCCACCCGGAGGGCCGATGAGAATACACTTCGTTGACTTTGATTTGGAGCTTCAATCATCATGCAGGCAAGATAGTCCTCTCTGCCACGAGTTAAACATTTTTCTTTGTAGGCAGCCGGTCCAAGAGTTTATGTGTCTGCTATTAGTCTTGCATGCCTAGCAAAATGAGCTTCATAAAAAATTCAAACAAAGGCAGATGATGTAGCTGAAGCAAACTTTACAGCACTCTTCCAAAAAATACATGGAAAACTTCCTTCAAACCTTCGTATCATTAGACAAGAAAATCGTCCGTAGTCTCTGTTACTTTTCTCTAGATTAGAAACATGAAGCTTCATCCTTAGCTGTGCCGCGTGGTTTCAAATTAGCTTAAGGACTTTTAACGTCGTCTCAGCTATCAGTGGATCTTTAAATTGCACTCTATTCTTTCAGTCTATCTTTGTTGAAGAGTAATTATAGTCGAGTAAACTCAATCAAGGATAATGTGTTTCTGTGAAGAAAATCTTCGATTAATATTTTCTTCATTGTAGCTATGACTTTGTGAAGATTGCTAATGATCAGAACTATAACTTTGGTAAATACTGTGGTCGGAGGACTGGAGAGAGAGTTACAGTTTATGGAAACTTCGCCTTTATAACATTCCATTCAGACCCCTCTGTCGAAAAAAGAGGATTCGTCTTCCACTTCAAAACACCTGGTTTGTATAGTTATTAGGATAGAAATCTCTCAAAATGTTTAATGAAGTGGTGTCAGTGTGATGTTATCTAAAAAGAGAGAAACAAAATAACTATGTAACTGACATGGATTTTTTTTGTCAGTAGCATTAATGAACCTCTCACGGATGATGGCAACTATATCCTATGGGTATTCACATGATTTCGAGAGCAATTTAGAAATAAATCAGCATGAGTAAGTTTTTAAAAGCTAACAAAATTGCATAAGCCCTTCGGGAGAGTTCAATTCGTGGTCTATGAAAACTTTACGAGTGCTAATTTATCCCAATTTGCACGAGATAAAATTGTGTGATTACTTGTTAATAATTCGCTTTAAAAGAAGGCTATCATTCTCGTAATTTAATCCCTCTGGCTTTCGTACTAACTGTAGCGTAAACTCCGATATAACTTTGTTCAGGGCCTCCAGTTCTTACCTTTTAAAAATTTTTGCCTTTTTTGGGAGCCGAAGACTTACCGACATTTAACCAGTTGTTTGCACTTTGCTGGAAGTTTTCGATTTTAATCAAGACGTCAGATATTGAGAAATGTAAAAATTGGCGATAAAAAGACCTAAGAGGTGGCTCCTTCAATAACGTCAATACCAATGTGATTGTTCTTCGTGTCACGCTGAACTTTGATGTTCCTGGAGCCTCTTCAACAGACAAGAGCAGATCGCAAAAGCGCAAAAGAAACTTGAGCTCCTATCCAGGAGATGGCTGTGGAATATTGCTTTTCTTTCTTTGAGGCAATGAGCCCTGCCAATCTACAATGAAACCAAAGGCATTATTTCCCCACCCCACCCGTTGTCGTAAAAACATGTGGGGTTAATGTTCCCTGTTCCCCATCAAGTATTCTTCTAGAATACTGACGCTTTTTCTCGTTCTCATGTATCCGATAGACCAATTGGGGTTCCATGTTCCGGTACGAGTCGGCATTAGGGTGACAAACCTTCACATGGAATAATAATAAAAATTATAATACTATTACTAGTAATAGTAGTTTTATTATAATTTTTACATTTCTAAATATTAGCCTTTAATTCTTCATTGCTATATTTCAGCCTAGATAAATCTTACCTATTTCAATCAAAGTCCACAGACTTTTAAATATATTTTACGTTTTTTTTCCTAAGCAAACATATTAGTAACGTAATTTTATTGTTATCGACACATGTAAAAGATATAGAATTATAGATTCCATTATAAATAGATTTAAGCACTTGAAATAAGAATATTTCTTTGCATTATTAAAAAAAATATATAGACAATTATAATGATGTACTGCTACTACTGTTTCTTCAGAATGTGGCGTTTTGGTAAACAGCACATTGAAAAGTCCGGGATATCCATCTACCTATCCAGCAGACATGGTTTGTGAATACTCTGTTCCTATTCCACCCGAAGGACCAATGGGAATATATTTCGTTGACTTTGATGTGGAGTTTCAATCATCATGCAGGCAAGATAGTCCTCTCTACCACGAGTTAAACATTTTTCTTTGTAGGCAGCCGGTCCAAGAGTTCTCTGTCTGCTATTATGTTTTGCATGCTAGTCTTGCAAAATGAGCTTCATAAAAAATTCAAACAAAGGCAGATGATGTAGCTGAAGCAAACTTTACAGCACTCGTCCAAAAAATACCAGGAAAACTTCCTTCAAACCTTCGTATCATTAGACAAGAAAATCGTCCGTAGTCTCTGTTACTTTTCTCTAGATTAGAAACAAGAAGCTTCATCCTCAGCTGTGCCGCGTGGTTTCAAATTAGCTTAAGGACTTTTAACGTCGTTTCAGCTATCAGTTGATCTTTAAAATTGCACTTTTATTCTTTCAGTCTATCTTTGTTGAAGAGTAATTATAGTCGAGTAAACTCAATCAAGATACTGTCTCTCTGTGAATAAAATCTTCGATTAATATTTTCTTCATTGTAGCTATGACTTTGTGAAGATTGCTAATGATCAGAACTATACCTTTGGTAAATACTGTGGTCGGAGGACTGGAGAGAGAGTTGCAGTTTATGGAAACTTCGCCTATATAACATTCCATTCAGACCCCTCTGTCGAAAAAAGAGGATTCTTCTTCCACTTCAAAACGGTTTCCCCTGGTTTGTATAGTTATTAGGATGGAAATCTCTCAAAATGTTTAATGAAGTGGTGACAGTGTGATGTTATATAAAAAGAGAGAAACAAAATAACTATGTAACTGACATGGAGTTTTTGTGAGTGGCATTAATGAACCTCTCACGGATGATGGCAACTATATCCTATAGGTATTCACATGATTTCGAGAGCAATTTAGAAAAAAATCAGCATGAGTAAGTTTTTTTAAAAGCCAACCAAACTGCACGAGCCCCTGGGGAGAGTTCAGTTCGTGGTCTATGAAAACTTTACGAGTGCTGATTTATCCCAATTTGCACAAGGTAAAATCGTGCGATTACTTGTTAATAATAATATATATGCAAAAAGTTAACTCAGTTTTCATTGGTGTACTGTTTCCAGAGTTGTGGGGGTCCTTCCGCAAGAGTCAGCTTCAAGCTTCTAAACTTTCTGTCAGGAATAACTGAGTATTTGCGATCTTTCTCAGTTAGAATTCGCTATACAAGAAGGCTATCACTCTTATTTTAATCCCTGTCTTTTGTACTAACTGTAGCGTAAACTCCGATATAACTTTGTTCAGGGCCTCCAGTTCTTACCTTTTAAAAATTTTTGCCTTTTTTGGGAGCCGAAGACTTACCGACATTTAACCAGTTGTTTGCACTTCGCTGGAAGTTTTTGATTTTTAATAAAGACGTCATTACTTCCCCCCTAACCTGTACGCCATTTTGTTTTTATGTGCTTTCGCGACTTTCCTACCAATCAATTTATTTAAACTTTCAACACTTTATGGGATAAATTGACGTGTCTTTAACCAATAAGCAACCTGAATTTTTTTTTTATATATGTTATTATAAAACAAATCCGGAGAAATGTCTTGTACTACCAACTTAGTCTGACCACTAACTTTTTTGCATTTCATTGTCTTATGTAACTTGTCTTTAGAACCGCCCAAAATAACCTTACCTGCCGTTGTGGAAGCTCACCCAAGTTACAGAGTGTCGATTCCAGTGACTGGAACTCTACCGATATACACAGCAATAATAAGAAACTCTACTGTGTTGGTAAACACAACCTATACTGCAGCCTTTCAGTTCTATAAGGAGTCAAATTGCACCTCTGTTGCCTTTAACAAGTATGGATATGATGTAAGAGAGTTCTCTGTGATTTTTAAAGGTAAGGAAATTTCATAAATCTAAGAATATGACGCATCTTAAAATAGGGTTCTGAAAATTCTATCCTTACAATCGAACCTGTATTAACCCTTCACTACAACAAGGACGTACTGAGTAGGTCATGTACCATATTACTCGTATGCTGTAAGGACGTACGCAGTACGCCCTAAATCATAGTACTTGTATGAATACTTCCGCAAGTTGTACAAACAATCAAACTGCAAACAATTAAACTCACGGGGAATGGCGTGGTGACCGCTAAATACAGGTTAACTGCTTAATACAGGATATTCAGATGAGCGGTATTAAAAAAAGATAAACAATGCAACTTTTACCGTAATTGACCAATTAATGTACAGAGTCTCGCTCATAAATACTACTTACTTTGATTTTGGGAGATTTCGGTAGGTACGGTTACCATTATTATTGTACATGAAAAAGATCTTCGCATCAATGAAAACTACTTAAACAGTAGTAAAAATAAGGCCTGAAAAAGGTTTGATCCCATGACCTCTGCGATACCAACGCAGCGCTCCACCAACTGAGTGAAAGTAAAGCCTGAAAGATGTCGCTTTCATATTCATTTTTTTTATCCATAGTCCACATGATTTTTATATATTCACAGTCCTAACTATTATTGCTGCCACCATTACTACTACTGCTACTTATTTTCCCACGCTTGGATTCAACGTCATGACGCTTTGTTTTCAACTTAATGTTAATGGTGTTATTAACTGGAGTTTATTGATCTGGGGACTTCATTTAATAAATTTTGAATCTTTTCCTTTCCCTTACTTTCCTATCTTTCAGATTGTGGACATGCCTGTTCTCCGAGTTTGTACGAAGGCATTGAAAATAAACTCTTCTGCGAGAAGGTGACAGCAACACAACTTGAGATGTGTCTTTCGCCGTTGACGGAGAGATTGTAAGAGACTGTGAAAATAAGGCACAGACAAGCTTTTTAGCGCTAACTTGAGTTCTGATTGACAGCGTGCTAATGCACAGGGCACTTCCACACTGACATATGAACCTACAGTAGAATGCATTTTAAAAACTAGACTCATTGTGGACTAGACTAATAATCATCAGTGCTTTGTATTGATAACATTCTTGAGCTCGAAAGCCGTCATTTCCCATTTGAAAACTTTAGGTTGTTTCAGATGAACACCCGATAGATAAAGTTTGAAAAAAAAATCAGTGTGAGTTCTTTTTCAGAAGAATAACCGTAAAAAAATTCACTCATAGGAAGGTTGAGTAAACAACAACAAAAAATTTGAATTGATAAGTTGATGTTTTCACAGGACTCTGAGGAAGAGTTATATAGACTTCTTATCCGATGAATTGTTTGACGACTTGATCAACCTGGAATACCTGTGAGTTAACACAAGTTCTTCTAGGTTCTAGGTTCCGTCATTTATTGACGTAAATTCTCGCCTTTTAGTTTATTTAAAGCACATATGTTTGCTCAAAAATAAATATAGCGATAATCAATGCCATAAATGTAATTTCGCACCTAACTAGCGTGCGTGCGCCTGGAGGAGGGGTGTCTTCATTGTTTTCTGATATTAGTTGGCGTCGAGACATCAATGCCAGTGTGACGTCACGTAGAAATATAACAAGCGTTTTGCTTGGTTTGCTCTGTTTAGCGAGGGGAAGCTAGCAGTAGCGAACACAGAGAAGGCAAATACAAGCTAGCATCGGGTTATTACCTAATTTGCGAAATAATTGTTTTGGATTGTTGTTATGTTATCATTTTACAAAAATTGCTTAATTTCTCCATCCAGGTTTTCTATTTAGCATGATGGCTGGGTAAATATAAAAGTAGGCGACAACCGTGTCTTTTGTTGGCATAATTGGCAAATTCCACACATTTGCCTTAGCAACTATAACGGATTTGACAATGACAGCGCGCGTCACATCCCAATTTCATTATAAATAGTATTACAAAGTGCTGCTGCTCATTGACAAGCTCGAGGACACCACATTTTATATTTCAAAACTTTAAGTTGCTACAAGATAAACAACCGATAAGTAAAGTTTGAAATAAAATATCACTGCAGGCACTACCACAGAGGAATGACTGCATAAAATTAACTTATAGGGAATTTGAAAATCTCAACCAATAAAAGAGTTTATTTTAATGAGTAGGTGTTTTTACAGGGAAATGCTGTCTAAAAATGTAACATTTTTACGTGAGGGATTGTTTGACAACTTGATCAACCTGTATGGCCTGAAAGTCAACACGTGATTATCCACTGAATATACTAAATTTGAGAGGCTATCTCTGAAAAGCCGAGAGATTAGCCTGGCTGCAATTCTTGGTTTAATTTGTGCCCTTTTTGAGGTCATTTCGCAATTTTACATCGCACATACTTACTGCGTAACTAGCGTACACATTAAAGAAATGGGGTCTTTTTCTCTATGGTCAGATTTTCCGGAAAAGTAAATCGTCCCTTTTACTAACAAACAAGTGCGGTGACCAAAAATGTTTTTTCTTTCTTGGAATTAAGGAAATACTCTTTTTCGATAAAAAAAATACAAACCCATTTTCAATATGGGAAAAATTAGGAAGATTTTAGCAAGTACTCAAAATATTATTGCCCTAAAATTATCAATTTTTTATGGCTATCTATAAAGAACTGCTGCTCCTTAACAAGCCCTAAAATTACCTTCTCATGTGTAAAAACTGTATCTTGTCATACGTAAAGAAAATTAGAAAAAAAAAACCAATTGTTCAAGTTTAAAAAAAAAAATACATTTTAGGTTCTTTTTCAAAGGAATAACCAACTGTGAAAAAATCAATGCATAGAAAATTTGAATAGATCAGTCGATCAAAAATCTTAATTTGTTTATGTTTTTACAGGGAACTGAATGCTAATAATATAACCTTTTTACCTGAGGGATTGTTTGACAACTTGATCAACCTAAAATATCTGTGAGTGAACACGACTTTGTCTTGCTTCTCTAAAAAAATTCAGAGGCTTTCTCTGTAAGAGCCAAGGATCAGCCTAGCTCACATTATAGTGACAACTATAGGGCTCAAACTTAATACTAGTGAGGATAAGTTTACTTACTGACGTCAAATTTCGCTTTCTGTCTTATTTAAAGCAGTAATTTTTTAACGAACCCAAGAATAATGATGACCAATGGCAATGGCTTTTTATTTTAACTTTTATTCTCTTTATGGAGTAATCTGTGTCCTTTGTAAGATCAATTGGCAATTTTATATTGCACATCCCTACTGTGCAACTAACAAAACATTGACAAAATGGCTACTTTTCCTGTAAAGTCGGACTTTTCCAGAAAATTAAATCACCCTTTTACTTGCGAACAGGCGAGGTTACCGAAAATGTGGAAAAAAAATTAACAATTATTGCCCTAAAATTCTAAGAATTATATGCCTATCTATAAAGAACTGCTGCTCCTTAACAAGCTCTAAAACTCCCGTTATATGTGTCAAAACTGTTTCTTGTCATATGATGGAAAAAACCATTAGGATGAGATGGAAAAACAAAAAATGATCAGTGACGGGTTCGTTTTAGTTTTCGGAGGAATAAACAACCTTAAAAAAATCGACTCATAGAAAAATTCAAATAGACCAACTGTTAAATAAAATAACTTGTAAGGGATCATAATTAACAATAGTTAAAGGTTAAGTTCATCGAATGACGTAAAATTTTACTCTATATTTTATTTAAAGCAGTCATTTTTAATTGAACCCAAGAGTAATGATGATCAATAGCATCCAGCTGTCATCTTAACAATATATTTTGGAAAACCGTTATTGGCAAGTAGTCAAATATTATTGTCCTAAAATTATAAGTATTATATAGCTTAGGGTTAAAGAGCTGCTGCTCCTTAACAAGCTCTAAAGCTGGCTTTTTATGTCTTTAAACTATATCTTGTCATAGGATATGAAAAACCCAGGTTTGTTTTCAGAGCAATAACCAGCCTTGAAAACATTAACTCATAGGAAATTTGAATAGATCAATAGTTAAATAAAATAAACTTAATAATTCGATGTTTTAACAGGCTACTGGAGGCTAATAATTTAACGTTTTTACCTGAGGGATTGTTTGACAACTTGATAAACCTGGATATTTTGTGAGTTAACACAAGTTTGTCTAGGTTTTTTAATAAACGAAGAGGCTTTCTCTCTCAAGGATCAGCCTAGCTGAGATTAAACTGACAACTCTATGCTCAAACTTGTTGAAAAAAATTATTTTAACGAGTCGATGTTTTTACAGGGGACTGAATGCTCATAATTTAACTTTTTTACCTGAGGGATTGTTTGACAACTTGATCAACCTGAAAGGGCTGTGAGTTAACATGAGTTCCTCTAAGTTTTGTGATAAATTGTGAGGCTTTTTCTGTAAGAGCCAAGGATCAGTCTAGCTGAGATTATAGTGAAAACACAGGGGCTCAAACTTGTTGAACAAAATTAATTAAGTGAATCGATGTTTTTACAGAGGACTGAATGCTCATAATTTAACTTTTTTACCTGAGGGATTGTTTGACAACTTGATCAACCTGAAAGGGCTGTGAGTTAACATGAGTTTCTCTAAATTTTGTGATAAATTGTGAGGCTTTTTCTGTAAGAGCCAAGGATCAGTCTAGCTGAGATTATAGTGACAACACAGAGGCTCAAACTTGTTGAACAAAATTAATTAAGTGAATCGATGTTTTTACAGGGGACTGAATGCTAATAATTTACCGTTTTCATCTGAGGGATTGTTTGACGAGTTGATCAACCTGGAAGTGCTGTGAGTTAACACAAGTTTGTCTAGATTTTCTAATACATTAAGAGGCTTTCTCTGTAAGAGCCAAGGATCAGCCTAGCTGAGATTATAGTGACAACACTGGGGCCCAAACTTGTTGAACAAAATTAATTTAATGAGTCGATGTTTTTACAGGGGACCGAATGCTAATAATTTACCGTTTTTACCTGAGGGATTGTTTGACAACTTGATCAACCTGGAAGTGCTGTGAGTTAACTCGAGTTTGTCAAGGTTTTCAAA